TGCAACAGTTCTCAAACTGTGCATCAAGGTGCCCCAGAGCCTCACATGGAACTCCACAGGGTGCTAGGGATTTTAAATTTTCCAGGGAAACAAAGTGAAACTTTGCTCAACAACTCAAAAACTACTAGCAGCAAATGGTTCACATCATCAACATTAAATTGTGCTAAATTTCTTTCAATGGTGTCCCATCTTCGTAAACCTGAGTTTTTAGTAAAATGCAAGTACAATGTTAAATATCAATTTAGAACAAGAAAAGGGAATGGACATTTCCAACCGGATTCCAAAGACTGCGAAGTTTATGCAGTGAACGACAGGTGCACATTTCCCATTAGTAATTATGGTTATTGAAGAATGAAATATCTTTTTTCTTTCAATTATATGTATTATTTTCTCAAACAGCTATTAAATTGTTAGGACATAAATACTTATTAGGTTGTTTGGACTTAATTACTTAATAAACAGATAGTTTCTTTGGCCTCCTGGCATCATGTCTGCATTAGAAAGTTTGGGAACCTCTGCTGTAAAATGAAGAGGCTCCGTTTCATATTGGCACCTTTCCCACAGTGGCTAATTTTAAATTTCATTCTTCTATATGCCCTTTTACAAGACCCCTCTGTGGGAAACTGTTCTACCTATTTTAACAAAGGACACCCACTTCAGTGGAATATTTATCATCTAAACAAAGATTCCTACACCTCATAGGCAGGCAGCGAAATACAGAAGTTAAAAGCAAGGGCTCTGGATACAGATCCTGGGCCAATTATTTGGCCTACCTATGCCTTTGTTGCCTAACATTGTAAAATGGGGATAATTTGCCTACCAGAGTTACTGAGGATTCGATGACAATAATAGCCAAAGGCACCTTAATTTCATTAGAAGAAAATTTTTTTAAGTATCTGAAATTCTGGCAACAGCTCCCGGCATGTAGGAAACCTTCAATAAATACTAAGTATTATATTTATTTCTGTTCCCGTGTAGAGCACATGGCTACTGGGATTCCGAGCTCCAGTCTATTTAGAAATCAGGCCAGAGACTGTTGAAGCTGCTGGTACTAATGAGTGCACCTGTGGCAGAGAGCCAAACTTCCTACCCCAGCAGGGAGGGGGGGGGGGGAATCGCTTCAAGGTCCCTGGCTCTCAGGCTCTGAAAGATGGCTTGGTGCACTGACTTCAGACACAGAAAACAAAAATCTGAAGACCTGGCAGGTTCTCCCCGTCCCCCACCCCGGACCCTCCTCACAAAACAAAAGAAAATATTCAGAAACTGGCTTATTTTCCTTTTGGGTCCATGTTTTTCTCAGCATCTTTGGAAAACAGAGGCCCTTCCTACCAATTTCCCCAGTCTGCACTCCCAAACCCTCTCACACCATTTGACACTTTCCACTCTTAGTCCCGGTCTTACCCAAGGTCACACCCCCGGGAGTCCGGGCAGTACCACCCCCAAACCCACCCCGCTAGCCTCCGGCCCCGCCTCGCGCATCCGCCGAGGCCCGCTCCCGTCCCGGATCTGCAGGGGCTCCCGGAGACCCACACCTGGAGCATCTCCTGACAGAAGGCGCGCACCGAGCGCAGCGAGGCGAGGTCCAACTCCTTGACGACGAGCTCCCCGGCCTCGCCGGCGTCAGAGCCCGGCTCCGGGCCCCCGGCCTCGCGGAGCTCGCGGCGGAGCTGACCCGCTGCCTCCTCGGCGCGCGCACGGTCGCGGCAGCCCATGATCACCCTCGCCCCCAGGCGCAGCAGCTCGGCGGCCGTGGCGCGGCCCAGGCCGCTGTTCGCCCCCGTGATCAGCACGGTCTTCCCGTGCATGAGGCTCGAGTTTCTGCCTCCGTGCAGGCGCTGGACACTGGGCCCCACGAACCGTCGGGCAGCCAGCCACAGGGCCCCACCCAGTGCGGCCAGGAGTGCAGCTACAGTAGCCACGGCCATAGCCGCCTGGGCCGAAGGCCCACCGGCCCCCGCGCGGGACTTCCGGAATCGCCGCTCGCCGGGGGCTGAGGCTGCCACCTGCACGCCAGGAACTCTGGGGCGGGGCCTGTTGCCGCCTGACGGGGCGGCGTGAGGCATGCTGGGACTTGTAGTTTTCCTCCCGAGGGCACCGCATTGGGTAGGCTGTACAGCGCCCTGAGTTGCGGTGACTCGGTGGAGCCGGCCCCCAGCCTGAACGTGGAGGGTGAGCGCAGGCCCCGGAGTGGTGGTGGTCAACCCGGTGGGAATGCCGTGTGAATATTTCGAATTTACAAGTCCCACATATCAGGGCTTGCTTAGTGTGTTTTCCGTTAAGGATCCCTGGGACTTGTTACCCCTCAGTGCCGTTTTCTCACCCTCAGGAGAATGAGGGGTTCTTACCCTCTGGAGCCTGAGGAAGAGCTCTTTTTTATTATGATTAAGGCGAAGAGCTTAGCGACGTGAGCCAGTCGGAAACAGCTAGTTTCCGGGCTAGTGGTTCTCAGACGTTAGCGTAGTATCTATCAGAATCCCCTGCAGAACTCGTAAAAACAACAGCGCCCCCGCCCCCACCGAAATGGAAGGACCCCAGTGCCAGAGTTTAGGATTCAATTTAGGTTGCAGATGGGACCTGAGCCTTTGGATTTCTAGGACGTTCCCAGATGATTCAGACGCCGCTGGTTTGTGGACCACAGTCTGAGAACTGAAAACCATGATGGCATTGATCTCTATGGAAAAGTCATCAGCCAGTGGTCTTATTTGATAAGGGTAGAGAAAGAGTGGGAAAGCCTGGACTTTCTCTAGACACAGACTTCTGAGTAGGCCCATTCACAAGTGCTTCCACGTCTCCTCCAGGAGACGATCAAATGTAAAATGGAAGGGAAAGTGCTTTCTACACTACGAAGTGATCGAAAAATGTCAGGGCTTATTGCCACAGCGACCCATCTTCAAACTGCAAACTTCATAGCTTTAGACCAAGCTCTTCTCAAGTCTTCATTCCTTCCATCTACTCACCCATCCCGTATGTGCGAGGCCCCGTGCCCTGTGACAGTCACAGAGAAATAGGACACCATTTCTGCCCTCAAAGTCCTTACCGTCTGGCACAGACACAGAGACCTCCCCCGCCACAGTCCCCATTCTAGAATCTAAAGGACAAGAGATGAGACACACAACCTGTATAGTTTGAAATAGACCCCCTAGATGATTTTGATTAAACTCTCCTCCACTCCTGTGCATTTGGGAAGGATGTAACATGCAGTGAACAGTCACATTACAAATAGAAGAGCGTTAGGATGCCAGAAGTAGTGCTGGAGATGAAGCTCACAGGAGGGAAGGAGCACTGTCCCTGGGGATTCCACAAGGCACCGGAGCAGAAATCACCAGGGATGGGCTTTTTTTCCATCCTTTCTGTAATTTGACGCTGCCTCTCAAACTCACTGATCCCAGAGCACATCTGTTTTCCTCTTTGTCCATCTATCTGTATTTTTTCCATCCTTCAAAGTTCACCTCAGTTCTGTGGTCTGACCACTTCCAGCCCATGCAGATGTCTGCCTCACTTTCCTGGGTGACCCTCACTTGGCACTGAGGACAAACAGCCCTCTAGTGTCAACTGTTTCAGTCTACATGCTTGACTTATTCTACAGGATTGTTCAAGGTTTTAAAATTTCCAAGAGAATGGGATTATGTCTGAATTTCTTTTGTGGTTTTCACACTGGAGAATGCATAGAAAACAGTAGGTACTCAGTGAGTGTCATGACTGATATATTTTGGACTAGCTTACATCAAATTAAGCAGAGCAAAAGCTATATATCAGCAGCAGTTTTCCTTAACTAGAGCTGGGGTGGAATATGTATATATGAGTGCACTGGAGAGAGAGGTGGGGGTAGAAGGAACGAGAGGGCATGAAGAGGGGAGGAGGAGGGAAATCCCCAGATCTGCTTTGTAACTGCTGTATATTTTAAGCATAGAACTTAATGGAATGACTAATCTGTTCAGGAAGGGTCCTATGGCCATGGAATTAATAAGGACTTGATGTGGAAGGCTATATAACACAGAGAAAATAAAATAATGCTTTTGAAGTAAGACCTGATTTTGAATCTTAGTTCTACCATTTATTAGCTGCTCATTATTGGACGAGCTACTTTTTCTTTGTGAATGTTATGTTCTTCCTCATTAGAAAAAATGAAGGTATTAATACTATTCTGTTACAAACCTTTGGTTTGTATGAAAATGAGGTGGCATGAAAATAACCAGATCACTGTGCCTATTATGTAATAGAGTATGGTTAAAAACCAGTCAATGTTCTTGAAAACAAAACAAAAATAACAAAAGAATGGTAACAGTGAAAGACTAGGATACTACACTTCATGTTACATTTTGAAGTGGTAGCCAAGGCTTTTTTTTCCATGTAAACAGTGGACCTACCTGCCAGGCCCAGAGCCAGAGACTTCAAATATGAAGCCTTGTGGTCCAGAGGCAACACACCCAAGAGATAAGCTTCTTTGAAGTTCTCCCAGGAGCTTCTGTCTGGAGCTCCTGTCTGGAGCTCATCTTAAATGGAAAGTGCCCTATATGAATAACTTGATTTATTTTTGAATGAGCAGTGTCAGAATTGGTATACTTATGCAGATGGAGTGACCTTTTAATTTTGCATTGATTAAAAAGCTGGTCACAGAGGCAACAGAATAAAAAACTCTAATTTTCAAGAGCGTGTTTAACCCTACTCTTTCCTTCTTTGAGGACCAATATTCTACAATGATGAAAGGGTAAAAATTCATTCTATCTACTAACATCCAAAAATGAGCAATGCTTTGTAAAACTAACTGGGATTTAGCCCTTTCAGCGTTCAAACATTCTAGTTCTAAACTTATCCTAAAGAGTCATCAGTATGACTTACACACAAGGGTAGGGGCACTGGTCTTCAATAGTACTGAGAGCTCAAAGAAGAAGCTTGAAGTGTTGAAAATGTTAAACAAAACAAGAACAAAAACAAAAACAAAAACAAAACAAAACAAAACAAAAGAACAACAAAAACAGAGGAAACTTTTCCAAATGAACTAAGTTTTGGTCCAATCTTCTGAAGTACCTATCTAATTACCCTAGAGATCCACAAGAAGTGGCTTCTGTAATACCGGACTTACTGCTTTATTTCTCCTCCCCATCCCTAATTGTTCATTTTTTGATTAATGCCATAAGGTACATGAGCTGTGATGGTGCCAAACTTCTGTGCCCCTTCAATGTGGAACATGTGGTCATCAAAGAAAATGTGTGGCCTTATCTTCACCAAAATAGGACCTTTGGGGGCTCCAGCAAGGAAAAGAGCTTCGTCTATCTCTAGACCCCAGCGGCGAAGGGTTTTCAGCACTCGGGCGCCTGAACTGGCTGCACTCCTGGCTGTAACCAGGTAGGTCCTGATAGGGCAAAGTAACCGTTCGTCTTTGGCATAAAACTTCTTTTGCAGTCTGCCTAAATCTTCCAGAAAGCCTTTTAAGGGACCCTGTAAAAGGAACATATGTCACAGCTGTGATCCAGTGAGCTAAAGTGAATGCTAAAAAAGCAGAGGCTTATAAGAGCTTATAAAAGGTTATAGTACTGCATTAGACCTGCAATATTCTAAGGCCAATGGAACAATCCTGAAACTCCTTGCATTTTATGTAAGTCTATTTCCTTATAAAGAACTATCCTTGCATTACTAAAATAAATGTAGGATGACCATATAATTTATTATCTAAACATTGATGTTTTAATAGTGAAAGTTTCTATAAAAAGTATAAGGGCAACAGACATAAATTATCCATGGCAACATAGGATACTCTATTTAAATAAAGTTTGGTTAATCCCCAAAAGAACTATTTTAGTTTTCTTTTTGTGAATTGCACACTTTAATATTATGAAGTTATACTCCTTTATCTAGTTCAGTGCCTTCTTGGCTTGAATCTAGCCTTGTCTTATATTTACAATTGCCTGTGCGTATCTTCAGCATTTCTGAACACTCAGTTTTAGCTGTTTCTCTGGAATAGAGCAAGATTTGGATTCTGCTATGTTTTCCAATCTGGAAGTCTTGATTTTTAAAACAGAGTGGAGTTTTGGGCCATTTATATTTATTGGTATTACAAGTATATGTCATAATGGTTCTTATGATTTTTATTGCATTTTCCTTGTTTATAGATTTTAAAGGATTGTTCATTGGGTGTTTGTTTTTTCCTTTGTGCATGTGTATGTGTGCTTCATCTAAGATTTAAGAAGGTTTGTATTATTTATTTCTATTGGTTACCTTTGTGACTATAACTTTTTATAGTACTGTTTGTTCTTTTTTTTTTAATCCAGGATCTATTATTTTTTACAGTGATAAATAATGAAATTACAGTACTTCATCTCTCTCTCATTCTCAATTTCTTTTGCAACCATACAGTTTACTTGTTTGGTAAAAGACTGAGGACAACCAAACAACTTACTTGTTTCCTTTTTCTCAGTGTTTATATTTTCATTATTAAAGATTTTCATATTTCTGTTTATCAGCTTTACATCTTATTCGTTGATCACTTATTATAACTTAAGATATCAACATACTTACTCTTCCTTAAGTCTTTTTCCTCCACATTTTTCCAGTTTTCGTTAGTTATATAAGTTCCCCATTGTTAGGACAAACAATGTGTACTTTCTTTTCTGCCATCCTATTCCCTACAATTGTTTTAGTTTTAGTTCTCTGATTAAATATATTTTGCATTCATTGTCCCTTTGTGTTTCTGGCCATCTACATATTGGCCAAAATGTTGTCTTCTAGTTTTCTCATGGATATATTATGGAAATAACAAACCATGACATTTTCAACTGTTGTTCTGTTTTCTTTTTACCTAAATGAACTTTTAGCTGGATAATAGAATCTGTGATTTAGATTTTCTTTCCATTTTCTTAGGGTTTTTTGTTGTTGTTGTTGTTGTTGTTGTTGTTTTATAAGTAGTGCTCCACTGTCTTTTGCTATTGAGTACTGCTATGGAAAAGACAGGGCAGCTTGATTTTCTTCTTCACCCATATGTAAAGGCTCCCCAAAGAATTACTTCTTCATCTTTGATGTCAAAAATTTTACTAGGGCACGTCTTGATGATCATAATTTTGTTCAATTTCTTTTAATAGTTTAATATATGCATTAAAATTTTCTGACAATTTAAGATGTTTTCTTGGTTTATATTTTTATATACATTTGCATCTTTGTATTTACCACACACAACCCTTTTCTCCCCTCAGAACATAATGTCACTTTTTTTTCCCCCCCCTTTCAGGGATTCCAGTTATGCATATGTTGGATTTTCTTTAACTGTGATATATTTTCTATTATTTTTCTTTCTAAAATCCTATTTTTTCAATTCTCCTCATTTCCAGAGTTCTACCATTCAACTTTTTACCTTCTCTCCCCTGATTCTAACATTTCTACTTTATGACCCTGAATTGCTTTTTTAAGTTTTTAAAAGTTATAGTAAATGTTTAGTAATAATTTTTACCTATACTTTGGCTACTGTTTCTAGTAAGAGATCTACATCTCTTATTAGATTTTGCCCTTCTTTCCCTTTTTCTCAGTATCTTTGCTTATATTCTGTGCTGGTTCTGTTTTTATTACTCATCACTGAAGCAGGTTGGTTTTCCTTGGAACAATTAGAGGGTTTATGGCAAAGGTTAAGGATAATATTTTAAGGCTGATTTGATTTCATAATTCAAAAGATCCCTTCTTCTCTGCTGTCCAGAAACAAACTGTTTCTTAATAAACATGGCTTATTCATTTTTCTGTTTAGATTTAAACATTGTTTAGACCACTGTTTCTCTGAGGCAGCATATATCAGGGGAAAAAAAAACAAATAAAATTCACTTTTTAACAGTGAAAGATCTATATCTATATCTATATATATGTGAAAAAACTACTGTTATTTTTATTTTATTTTTTAATTAATTTATTTATTTTTTGGAAAAAGCTGCAAAGGAGATATGGTGACTGTTGGCAGGAGTCATCCAACGCATGACTAATTTGGCTTTGAAACACAGGGAATATAGTTCTCCTTGCTGCTTTTGAGTAGTTTCCAAAGGGAATAAATAGAGACCAGTCCATATATGTCACCATATTGAAACCAGGTATCCATATCATCCCTTCTTATTTCTATTTTTGGGTATTTTTATAATTTAAACATTTGTGCAGAAGTACAGGTATATAATTTGTCAAAAAAATATATAAATAGGTAAAGTTACTAAAAAATATCTTTTTTGATAAGCTGTATGACTTAAAACATTTAGAACCTGCCTAGGATGGAGAAAGTTGGAAAGACTGGTGATACTCCTATCTTAACAAGAAAAACCCAGATAATCTGAAAAGAAAAATCTTAACATTTATTGACCCCATTAGAGAGCTGAGGTAACAGGACAATAGACTAATATGAAAGTTAAATGGAAAAAAAAAAAAACCACAAAAAACAAAACTAAAGAAAAACTAAAAAAAAAATTAAAGAGAACTAAAGGTTCTCTTCAAGGACATATGGAACTCAAGAATTGACACATCTTTGGCAAATCAATGGAAGACTTTATACCAGACACCATATAAGCAAGTATGAAAAATTGAAATAATTAAAAAAATATTGATAAAGGTCAAATGTGGACTAATAAGAGAACAAAGAAGCCCTGAAAGTTACATACCCAAAACACTCTCTTACAGGGTTCCCCCCCCCTTTGGACTTTCCTAGTTGTTTATGAGAAAGGCTATAGGCAGGATGGAAAGTGAGAGAATTCAGTCCGTGGTAATGCAGGCTAGAGGACAGGAGCAGCTACCACTGTGAGAAAAGACTAAAACTCCACCTTGCCCCATGTTTCCTAAGTAACAAAAGTTTTACACTGCCAGAAGAGGGGCTTCAAACACTGTCACCCCTAGGGCATAGGTAAAGATCCACTGCTATGGGGAAAGGGAAAAAAATAAAACAAAATGAAACAAAACCTCCACCACTGGAAGTGGTATTGGAGACTGTTATGGAAGTCAGAAAATAATGGATGGGTATTTTCAAAGTCCTGAAAGAAAAATATGGTAAATGCAAAAAACTATATGTAGTCAAAATATTTTTCATAAATGAAGGAGAATAAGGAGTTTTTCAGACAAAGAAAAGTAGAGCTTTTGGTAATAGCATATCAGTTCTACATGCAGTGTTAAAAATGGTTTTATGGCAAATTGATTATGATACGAGGGAGAAAGCTGGATTTACACAAAGAAATTAAGATCCCTGGAAATGATTAAAATAAAGATGAATAAAAAGGACATATTTTTTCTCTTATCCATCTTCATTCTAAATATATTTGTTTAGTCAAATAAAAAATAATAGCAAGGTACTGTGAGTTGATAGTATAGCTGAAAATAAAATGTGTGACAATAGCACAAAATATGGGAGGAATGTGTTGAGAATATACTGTGTTAAGATTCTTACATTATACGTGATGTGGCATTATATTGTTTGTAAATAGACTGTGATTACTTAAAGTTGTATGTTGTCAATCCTAGGGTAATCACTGAAAATTTTAAAATGGGTTATAAGTCAATAATGGAGATAAAATGGAATCCTGGAAATATATAATACTATAATAAATCCAAAAGCTAAAAAGTAAGAAAAGGGAAAACAAACAACAGATGAAACATATAGGAAAAAGGAGGAAGATGATAGGTTTCAGTCCAACCAGAGTAATGTTCACATTAAATGTAAATGGTCTAAAAATAGCAATTAAAACACAGGGATTGTCAGACCATACCAAAAAAGCAACACAAGATAGATACGTAGATGTGTGTGTGTGTGTGTGTGTTTGTGTGTGTGTGTGTGTGTGTGTGTATAATCATTCTAAAAGAAAGCCAATTTAAATAGAGAAGCAATCTACATGTAAAAACATAATCAGTTAAAATAAAATTTATAGAAAATATATACAGTAAAAACACCAGTTCCAAAAAAAAAAAAAAGCAAAAAACTGGGGTGGTTATATGACTATCAGACAGAGAGAGACATTACATAATGAAAAGGGATTATTTCACCAAGAAGATCGAACAATCCTAAATATTTGGGCAGTAAGTGAAAGAGATTAAAAAATGCATGAAGCAAAATGCATATAATTAAAAGGAAAAATAGATTAATCCTCAAAATATTCTTGAAGACTTCGACACTGCCTCCTCAATAGTGGATAGAAATAAATAGAAAATCATTGACAATATGGAAAACTTGGGCAATATTACCTGACTAATACACTGTCAACTTAAGCTAATTGACATTTTGACTACTCAACAGCACAGAATCAATGTTCTTCTCAAGTACACATAAAACATTCACCTTGATAGGCCATATTCTGGGCATAAAACACTCCTCAACAAATTTAGAGGACTGAAATCATACAAAATATATTTTCTCTATATACTGAGGAGTCAAAGAGTGAATGATCTGCCCTGAAGATCAGGGACAAAGCAAGGATGTGCCCTCTTATTACTCTTGTTGAATACTGTACTGAATGAACTAGCAAAGGTAATAAGGCAAGAAAGATAATTAAAACACATATAGAATGGAAATATAGAAATAAGTATTTTTATTCATAGTATTGTCTATGGAGAAAATCTCAAATAATCTACAAAAATTTTACTATACTAACTAGTCAATTTATCAAACTTGTAAGATACAAAGTTGATATGTAAAAACTAGTTGTATTTCTGTATATTGCAACAAACAGATTAGAAATAAAAAAATTAATATATCACTCATAATAGCACCAAAAATTATGAAAAACTTAGGTAGAAATTTAACAAAGTGATATCTGGACACAAAAATATTTGAAACACTGATGGAAAAAATCAAAGAAAACCTAAATAAATGGAGAGATATACCATGTCCATGGACTGAAAGACTTGCTATTAAGATGTCCCCCACACCAAGATTAAGCTAAAAATTCAACACAATCAAAATCAAAATTCCAGCAGACTTTTTTTTTTCCCCAGGAATGCACAAGGTCGCTGTTAAATCTGTATAAAAATGCAAAAGAATAAGAATATCCAGAAGAATTTTGAAATATAACAGATTTGAAGAACTCACACTACCTGATCTCAGGACTTACTATAAAATTGCACTAATCAAGACAGTGTGATATTGGTAAAAACATAGACACCTATGTTAAAGGAATAGAAAGCCAGTCTTTTTGACAAATAATCCTGGAACAATTAGGATACCCATAAGCATTAAAAGTGAACTTAACCAATACTTTGCATAAATACAAAAGTTAACTCAAAATAGGTTATAATCCTTAAGAAAAACTAAAATTACAAAATGTTGTACAAAAACATAGGAAATTTATGTGACTTTGTCAGTTGTTGGATATGACATTAAAAACACAAGTAATAAAGGCATTAACTGACAAGTTGAACTTCAACAGAATTATAAGTTTCTGTTCATCAACATACACTGAAAGATAAAAAGAATAAAAAGATATGCTTGTCTTGAGCCTGAGAGAAAATATTTGCACAACACATCTGATAAAATACTTCTATCCAGAATATGTTAACTCTCAAACTTCAATAATAAACAAGCTCAATACAAGTGAGCAAGAGATTTGAACAGATATATTTGCCGAAAAGTACACATGATGGCAGATAAACACCTAATAACATATTCAATATTATTTGTCTAGAGAAATACAAATTTAACCACAAAGAGATACCATTATATAATCACTAGAATAGCTTAGAAAAAGCAAACAAAAAACAACTTACCAGTGCAAAGTATAGAGCAACAAAATCTCACATATAGTGCTATTGAGAATTCAAAGTGGTCTTGTCACTTTGGAAAATACTTTGGCAGTATCTTATAAAGTTAAATATATGACCTAGTGACACATATACTGTGTGACCTAGTAATCCTACTCCTAGGTATTTATCCAAGAGAAATTAGATCTTAAGTTTACACAGAACCCTGTATGCAAATGTTAAAATGGCTTTATTTATAAAAGTCAAAAATTTGGAAAAACTTAAATATCCTTCAACAGGTAAATGGATAAAGAAAATGTGGTACATCCATAGAAGAGACTCAACAATAAAAAGGAACAGACACTACTAAAACATGGACTGACATGGATGTATCTCAAGAACATAATGCTAATAAAAGAAGTCAGATTCAAAATATTGTATCCTGTGTGGTTCCATTTAAGTGACATCTGGAAAAGGCAAAACTAGAGGGGCAGAAATCAGATTGGTAGTGGATAGATCCTGGAGATAGCAGGATAGGATGGCTACAAAGAGGCATGAGGGAATTTTGTGAGTATAATGAGTACTTTGAGTTTGGTCATGGTTTCATAACTGTATGCATTTGTCAAAACTCTTAGAAGCATCCACTAAAAATTATGAATTTTACTGTATATAAATTATACCTCAACAGTTCTGATTAAAAAACACACATGTGCACACACACAAACACACACACAGTTGGAGAACAACTGTCTGAGAATGGTGAGACAAGGTAGGGATCAAATCAGGAAATGTCCACTACTTGTTATGGTGCCACGCTGGAGGCTTTTAATAAAGTTACAAGAGTAGCCGAGTTAATCCTCTTCAGCTGTCTCCTCCATTTGAGACAATGTCATGACCAAGCCGTAAGTCCCACGACCAACATACTTGAAAGGCTTGGGTAATAATCATACCTCATAACTTCTTTCTCATGAGTGGAACACATTGGCAAAGCCTGTTTATAGAAAAGCTACCCTGTCTGTGTAAAAAACAGCATCTTCATCCACTGCCAGAAGGACTGCATAATGAAAACAAGTATGTTTAATAGAAATGTGTTGGGTATTCCAGCAATAACTAGTGTTGGGCTTCACAATTTCAATTGTTTAATGGGAAGAACAAGTTCTTTAACCTGGAAAAGGGAAATGATTAATGCCAAGTCTAAAAGAAATTTCAATTCTTTACCTGTAATGAGAAAATGGTATTTTAAGATTATCTTTAAGTATGCTTTTGAAAGTTTTTTTTTTTTTTAAGTGTTCTTTTTCTGGAAATATTCCAAATTTCAGTAGTAGTTAGAGGATACTACACAGTGGGCTCTGAATTTCAGCAAAGCAGACTTAAGTAAAATACAACAAAGGATTTTCCTTTCAATTTGTTAACATTGAACAACTTCACTAAGATCAAGGCTTCCGAAGAAGCTATTAGGGAGGGACTATGAAGTTACATGTGTGTGCGTTCTCACACACGTATGCATGCACACACACACAGTTTAAATATGAATTGCTGTGATATGGGGTGAGTTAGTGAAACTTTTTTACTTTCAGTTAGTCTATTTATACTTTTATAAGTGTAATAAAAATAATAACATTTAAGTTTGTCTTACGTTCAAGAAGAGCTGAGAAAAAGAGACAAATTCTTTGCTAAAATTCTTAGATTGAAACTCATCTGTCAGTTCAGATTCAGTTGAGAAGATTTTGATGTTTCAGATTTCCTTTGGTTCAGAAGTTGTAACTTTTGTTCATTTTAACACTGTGACTTTTTTTTTTTTAATTTTATTTACTTATTTGACAGACAGAGATCACAGGTAGGCAGAGAGGCAGGCAGAGAGAGATGAGGGGAAGCAGTCTCCCTGCTGAGGGGAGAGTCTGATGCGGGGCTCAATCCCAGAACCCTGGGATCATGACCTGACCCCAAGGCAGAGGCTTTAACCCACTGAGCCACCCAGGTGCCCTAACACTGTGACTTTTTAACACTTCAGTTCATGGATTGATTCCAAAAAACCTAAATATTCGGTTTCATTTTGATTAGGTGTTCATAGCTTGCACTTGTTTGAGGCTCATTATTGTGATTCAATTTGAGCTCTCATTTGTGCAGATTTTCTCAATTAAATAATGCCATTAGTGAGTTTGAAGTTTATGGGCAGAGAGGTCCACAAATGTTAACTGACCTATTGGAAATCACTTTACTATTCTGAGAACTTATTTAGAAATAGCTTACCAGTAAGCCATATTACCTCTATTACTTGTAATTTTGAGGTGAACTCATTATCATGAGGAGATCATCGAAACACTTCCGAAAAGGATAGATAAAAGAATGCTGAAACAAAACAAAACAAACAAACAAACAAACAAAAATCCCAAGTGGGCAGTAGATGTTTCAAAATGAGGAGTTCATGAAAGGGAGAAAAGTATGAAGGATAAGAAATGAAGATTGGCTTGCCTAAAATAATTAAAAAAAAATATATATATATATGTCTATATGTTGGAAAATAAGTAGATAAAAATTAATTTGAACTCACTGGACCTACCTGAGCAAGAGGCTTATTCTCAAATAGTGTTTCATGTTGAAAGAATTTGTCCAGCCCGTGCTCCTTGGCAATATGTTCAGATTCATCAGAGAAGAGTACGGCATCCCCATCAAAGGCCACACGGAGCTGTGTGTCACAGTAAGCCATGTCTTTGGCTCCATCAAACATTGTTGCAGAGGCGATGCCTGGCAGACCATGGAGATTTATTAATACTCTTCTCAGGGACATCAGTTTCTTCTACCATTTTAATGATTAAAAAAAGAAAAAAAGATCCTCCCAGACCTTGAAATATATATATATATATATATATATTTTTTTTTTTCCTAGCTAACCTGATGATTCAATTGCTCTTTATAACCACACATCTCAAAATAGTTGTTTACACATTGCCTCCATTTCTATAATGGATGAGAAAGTGTAAAATAGAGTGTAGGACAATCACTGAGAATGTCCACCTCCAATAAATTCAAAGCTCTAAAAGACAGATTTAGGGGCTGCTACTTGTGGAAACACCTTAGCAGAAAATTTAACAAGGACATAAGCCACATAATCATATATGAAGCCCAATGAAAGTCAGCACTAGTGCAAACCTCTTTATTAAGTTGAGAGATAAAACCAAATGAATACCTTCTTGTATTGCTTCTTGTACTTTTTCAGAATCTGCAGAAAGATACAAGTTGGTAAGATATGCCTTCAAATAGCCAATGGGGCTTTTTCCACCAGTCAGACAGAAGCGGTCAATTAATAAGCCTATTATTGGGCAAGAAAGATTTTTTATGTCAGAGATTAAAGACAATATGCTTAAATGTAAATGTAAATCAGAGTTGTCTTAGAAATAATTGAGTGCTTACTGAGGTTTTAGAATTAGCTTTGTAACACTAATATTAAAAAATTGCTATTTTATATATAAAAAAGCCGTTTTTTAATAAAGTATGTCCATGTAGACCATGCCAATTCGGTCTCACAACAATTGTATGATGGAAATTATTATTATCATTACAGAAAAGGAAATTGAGACATAACAACTTGTCTAAGCCCACTGACTCACATTGACTCTTGTCTAAACTAGACAGAGTTTTTTCTTCAACCATAGGCTATTTACTTATTGAAAGAGATAGTTCATGTGTACCTCTATTTTAAGTACCATTTCTGTATTTCTTCAGGAACAATATAATAGTAATGACAAGCAGTGCTAGGATTTAAACCGTTTTCTAAAAACAACAACAGGTCTGAAATTGTTTTTTGTTTCTTTTCCTTGATTTGAAATTATATTTATTTATTATTTATTTTTAAAGATTTATTTATTCAAAAGAGAGAGAAAGCAGCCACGAATCAGGTTGGTGGAAGGGGGCGAGGGAAAGGGAGAGAGAGTTTCCTAAGGCAGACTCCTAGTTTGAGTCAGGGCTTGATCCCAGGACTCCGAGATCATGACCTGAGCCAAAATCAAGAGCTGGCTGCTTAACCTACTGAGCCACATGTGTCCCTTGACTTGACATTTTAAATGTAATTATTTAGGAGACTAAATATTAAAATACCATTAAATGTCTTTCAAATCAACAACAATTAAAAAACAAATGCTAGATATTGGTTAAAGTTTTGTAAAATAGGCACCCATTTTCACTTTAGAAGAAAATATAAATTGGTACAAACTACCTAGAAAGTAATTTGACGATATGTATCAAGAAATGTAATTGTTTTTTACCCTTTGACCTGTTAGTTTTATTCTAAGGGAATAATCTGAAACTCTGATAAGATTTATGTGTAAAGGTCTCTCAGGATAATTTATAAAAGCAGAACACTGTTTAATGATTTGAAAACAGTTAAAGTATAACATAATGCCTATAAGATAGTATATACCCATTCAAACTTTTTTTAGATTCATAATAAACTGGGTAGCTGCACATGATATAAAGCAGAATGTTGAGTCTAGTCAGTTGTTTTTCATCTGTATGGACCCACAGAGTGGGTGTGGTCCATTGAGAATTGAGTTGGAAGGGTTTGCTATGATGTTAATGAAATACTCTCAGTTTTTCACTTAAGCTGACATTGGGCATAAGTGACAAAAGTATATTCTGCAAACCCTTAAGTAATATAAATTAATATTAATATATGACCAGGAATTATTTGGTGGCATTGGGGACTTCAGAAACAATTAAAACATCCTCCCCCATTATAAGGAGATCACAGTTCACTGAGCAGTTGGGCATGTAAAACAGAATGATAATATAACAGCCATAGAAGAGGGAGATACAAATTGCCTTCAACACCCAGAGAAGGGAAACAACTAACTACCTTTTCCAGGTGAAAGGCTGTTGGTATTTCATGAATAAGGCTGTATGAGAAGATGGAGCTCAGTCAACTCATTAGCATAATTGATGGGTAGATAACTATGCTTCTTTATGCTACTAGCCTTGTTGGGCTCATTTTGGTGAGGGATAGATAGACCTAAGTCACCTACTAAACTGTGCAAGATTGTGTGTTGTAAAAAGCAATAGTTGCTATTTACTGAGTGATTATGGTACTCATCTATGCTAAACCTTTTATCCGTGTTCCTTTCCATATCATAACACTATGAAAGCTGCATTTTTGAAAGCCAAGTATTTTTTAAAATATATCTCAGACATCAGCCCCTTTTTTTTTTAATTTTAAAAGATTTTAATTATTTATTTGAAACGAGAGAGAGAGAGTGTGAGAGAGCACAGGCAGGGGGAGTGGAAGAGGGAGAGGGAGAAACAGGCTCCCTGTTCAGCAGAGACCCCAGGACCCTGGGAACATGACCTGAGCCAAAGGCAGAAAGATGCCTAACTGACTGAGCCACCCAGGGACCCCTCAGACATCAGCCTTATAATTAGGATAATGGAAAACTCATTAGTTATAATACATCTTGATTATTCATAAGCATGCCTACTTTAAACCTTGAATTTAAATATGCCGAAGTTCAATCTTATTTTGACTTGATGTACCCATAAACCTGGATAGGTCACTTAGAAAATAGTCTAAAGATCCCAAAATAACAAGTCATATAATTCCATACCAGGAAATTGGGGATTTTCTCTTTAAGAATCCAACACACTGATGGAAATGCTATGAGGGGACTAGAGTCAGTCAGAATTTCCACGTAAAGGAACAAAGATCATTTTGCTGACATGGGTATGGATTTGATGTGTGGGGAGAGCAGTCAGGGAGAATCAGATTGTAAGAGTGGAAAGGAAAGGTGAAAACCCACAAACCTTAAACACAGATCTGTGGTGAGCAAGAAGTTTGATCACACAGAGAATGCCTCTGGGTTGATGGCTCCTTGAAGTCAAGTTCAGAAGTGAAAAACATAAAGCAGAGAAATATATTGCAGGAGCTGGGATTAAGACTTTGAAATTCACACTTGACAAGTTAAGTCCAGGGCTTTGGGCCCAACTCTGTGCTAAAGTTAAAAATGAACATGGCCTCTCTTTCTCTGACATAGGCAAATAAACATTCCTCACGCAGAAGGGGGTGTCAGTATCAAAGACACTGCATTAGTGAGGCCACAGTTAGCAAAATAACATGGCTTCTCTCTCCCAGAGCAGCAAGCTGTTCTTCCACATGGTATTTATTTTACTTACCATAGTGATTGACGCTGTTTATAAGCCGCACTCCCACTTGGGCATGGTTATTAGTCATCAGTACAATATCAAATAAGTCCTGTTCACTAGGATACAGCTCACGGAGTCTAGCATTGACATGCTGCAGTGCCTGCAGGTTACAAACATGAGTGCATGTAAAGAGGGCCAGGCAAGGTGGCTATTGGAGTCTGGGTTCTGGAGAGAAAGGATATCACTGGTGTCAAATTCAAACTCTGGAGACTCCGAGAGATTATGGCTCCTTTAAGGCATGGTTATGCCATTCGTTTCTCTATTTTCAGACTCCTATACAAGACCTCGTTAATATTTGCTGAATAGGTAGCTAATGTTTGTTGAAAAAATTGTTAACAACATTTGACTTTCTAGAATTCGCTCTTTGGGGTAGGTAGAGAGAAGGATCAGGCTAATCTTTCCAAGCTTTGCCAATTTTTTTTTCTTTCTTTGATTCCTAAAATCTGCTTTTCTTTTCTTGATCATCTTGAGATTATCATTAATTGTGAAAATATAGAATATAGAATGCTTCATGAATTAGCATGTTATCCTTGCACAGGAGCCATGCTAATCATCTCTGTATTGTTCCAATTTTAGGATATGTGCTACCAACGTACTTTGTCTATTTTTTAAACTTGAGTCTTTAGGTTAGTGGTTTCCCTTGATGCTTCTACGGTGCCCCACAAGTACTTTCTATTCACAGCTTGTAGATATCATTTTTTCTACCTGGTTATGATGTTATTGTGTAACATTTGCATAAGTTATGGAGAGGATCAATGTTATAAGTGCTATACATTTCAGTATAAGTTCAGAGAACCTTACTTTTTCTATTAAAATCATGTCCCCACCCCCAACCAAGTGCCAATCAAGATCATCTTGATTTTTCTTAATATGTTATGTTTGGGGAAAAAAACAGCTAAAGTGAATTTCATTTCATTTTAATGAGGCATTTTGTTTCTACTACTGGGATTGTAAGCTTATTATTGCTTCTGGTACCACTCCTAGGAAGGGAATAAAGGTGTTTCTAACAGGTGTCATGATTAGAACTCTATTGAAGGCCTTCTCAACATCCAAAATCTAGAACTGGAGGCCCTTCCTCACCAGTCTTGGAGCCTCTGTGGGAAGCATAAACTGACCTGGGGTCAACGTGAAAAGGGCAAGAATTACAACAGGATGCCAGGAATTATAAGGGACACTGGATGAGATCCCAGGGGTCTGCCTGGGTCCTTTCCTCTCCATCCAGGTTCCTGACATTCCAAACACAGTTTTTCAGGGTACCTTAACAAAGCGGAAGGCGGGTCCTGGGGTCAGGATGACATTTTCGTTGTTGAGTTGATATTCCATGTACTTTTCTAGACCCTCCTCCTCATAGATTTTCCTCCCGTCCACCATGTTGAAAAGCGCCCGGGATGACACAGCGATGGTGATGGCATTCTTGGGTTTGGGCTGCAGAAAGGGCCGCCAATGGGAGGAGAGTCAGTCACACGACCGAAGGGATCAGAAAAGGGGCTGATGCCAGGGCAAGGTGGGAAGAAAACAGCTAGGCCCCACTTGGAGCACTGGGATGCTGGAAACAGTCAAGAGTTAGGATTCCCTCCCAACTGAGGCTGCAGGAGTAGGGGAGACGCAGGGCCGGCACAGGACTTCCCCGCAAGTTAGAGAGAAGGGAGGCTAGGAGAGACTCAGGTTTGCAGGGTTGCATGGGTCTGGGGAGGGGGGGTGGGGGGATGGGGAGGCGGATTTCCAGTACCAGGTGTGTGGGACTTGCTCACCGGTCTGGGGCGGGAGCAGCTGGGGATCTTCTCATACAGAGTTTTCACCGAGGCCCAATAGGCTTCGTCCTCGTCCTCCTCTTCCTCTCGTTGGTGATGCTGCCGGGGCAGTTCTGACAGACAGTCCTGATCTAGCTGGGAAGAGTAGGTTGATCTGCGCTGGGTATAGGCCTTCCATTCGGTGGGGGGTGTGCGCGGGTAATCTCTCTGCGGCATGGAGTCCCGGGAGTCCCGGGAGTCCCGGATTTCCCGCACGATGCCGTGTGCCCAGGCTTCAGGATTCTCGTGCATCTTGGTGCTGCGCCTGGAGGAGCTAAAGGGCTCCGGCGGGGTGGGAGGATGTGAGTCCAGAGGCATAGGTGGAGTGGAAGGCAAAGGTGGTGTGGGCGGCGAGGGCTCCTCTGACAGCTGCTTCAGGGACTCTTGCTGGCTGGGGGAGGTGGATGAAGTCCGGGAGGTTGTGGAGCTACTGGGGAGCTGGAACAATAAAGTAGGAGTCTGAGTTAGATGTTCCCCATCTCTGCCCAGCAGGAGTCAGGAAGCGTCCCCCTTCCCTCTGTTCCATTCTTAGCCATTAGTAGGATCCTGGTTCATCCTAGCTCCTTTCAGTAGGGCTTGAAGGGGCTCAGATATTTCAGGACCCCAGTTATTGGGTATGTCTCTTATACAGACACAGAGATAGACTGTTTTTATTTTCCCCTACCTTCCCCATCAGCAACTAACACTTTTTTTTTTTCTTCCTTTTTTCTGGAGTGGATAGGGCACAGGTCTTCTTCCCTGCCCTTAGGCATCTGGTCTGTAGTTTGCAAAGTTCTGTTGCTTGCTTGCCTTAAACTTGCCCAGTCAGAGACCTCCAGGTAGGATGTTCTTGCTCACTACTACCTTCATCTGTGACCTCCAGTTAACTCTATGAGCAATTAAGACCAGATGTTCTCACCAGCAGATTCTACAAAACACCTGGAGGTATCTCTTTATACATTTGCCCTATAATTAATGCAGTGATTGCTGGGAAGGTTCATAGACTGGAAAGCTGAGTATCTTCCCATTGCCTTTAGAACTCTGTTTGCCAATGGAACTCTTTTATTTAAGAATCATCTTCCTAAATAAAAAGGAAGGATTCTAGAAAAAAAAAATCTTTATTAAAGCACGCAATAAATTATTAGGCATCTATATATTATTTCACTTTTTATGATTGTTTCACGTGTCTCAAAAGGCATATTCTTGGTTAGACTATTGAACCACTTTTCACAGAGACACATGTTCTCCCAGTGGTGAGGTCTGTGTCACTCTTTCTCTGCATCCAAAAACTTAACCTCAGAAATAGCATTTTCTCCTCCTGGGGCCAGGCCTAGTTAAGGGACCAAAGCACCACACAATCCAATACTTTTCAACAATTTATCTACTTCATTGATTTTTTCCACCCCTTCTTCATATTTTTTTTTTTAGTTTAAATCCAATTAACATATAGTATATTATTAGTTTCAGAGGTAGAGTTCAGTGATTCATCAGTTGCATATAACACCAAGTGCTCATTACATCATGTTCCCTCCTTAATCTCCATCATCCAGTGACCCCATTCTCCCAGCCTCCTCCCTGCCTCCAGCACCCTCAGTTTGTTTCCTATGATTAAGAGTCTCCTGTGGTTTTTCCTCTCTCTCAGATCTCATCTTGTTTTATTTTTCTCTCCCTTCTCCTATGATTCTACGTTTTGTTTCTTAAATTCCACATGAGTGAGATCATATGATAATTATCTCTTTCTGATTTACTTATTTTGCTTAGCATAATACCCTCCAGTTCCATCCACATCGTTGCAAATAGCAAGATTTTTTTTGATGGCTGAGTAGTATTCCGTTGTATATAAACACATCTTTTTTATCCATTCATCTGTCAATGGACATCTGGGCTCTTTCCACAGTTTGGCTATTGTGGACATTGCTGCTGTAAACATTGGCCCATCCCACCTTGTAAGTCTTGATTACTCAGCAAATAATCGTTGAATGAACAAAGGAAAGACGGAGAAGTCAGAGGGCTTAATCATTAAGTTAGTGCACAGCTTATAGACTTAGTGACCCTGGGTTTTAATCTACCTCAATAAGTGTTATTAATGTGAGATCTTAGGCAAGTTACTCTGTGTTTCAATTTTCTCAACTATAGAATGGGGCTTATGGGTTTATTTGTTTGTTTTAATGATCACTGAGTTAGCTAAAACATGTGAAGCACATAGAATAGGTCCTGGCACAAAGAAAGCATCAATAAATGTTAACTATTATTATTATCATTATCATTATCATTATCATCATCATTATTATATCACATTCTTCTTCATTTCATCTCCCATCTCTACCTTTAGACTGGTGTTCTTGCTTCTGGGTTCGTCTACTGATGGAACTCTGGTGGATGGGCTCCGTGAAGTTCGGGACCACTGATTTCGCACAACGTACCCCCGGGAATCAGTCTTTGGCAATGATAATTCCTGTGATCCCTTTGGAGGAAAGAAGAGACCCAGGGGTGTAATACCCCACTACCCACTCCTGCTTTGCATGTGCCTACAGAACCACCATTTCAAGCTAAACATAGCAGAACCCAGTGAGAAGGTCCCTGTCCTATATGACCTTAATTCAGTGTTGACCCTTATGTACTATTCTAGCTCTGGCCCAATCCTAAATTTTATGACGAGAAAAGAAGTGGAGATCCACCTGGAGGAGAATCCAAAACTAAGAAACATATCTGATGTCTCATATTTTTTCATCTGTGACTCTTATATGGACCATGGTAGCGTTGACCATTTTTCTGACCTTTTCCCCACTTCTTCCCTTAAGGCTAAGCCTTTTAGCTGAAGCTAAGAAGACATATTTATCATTTTTGACTACAAAGATGAGGGCAGCTAGCATCTAAATGAGGTTGAATCTAGCATCTAAATGAGCTGCCCAAGGGGAAGTAGAATACTCTAGCATTTCCTTTGGGAGGAGTCAAACTGGAAGATACTATGGAGAGGCAAGTGGAAATTTCTATTCCCCATATCCTTCCCCTCACCCAGATTGCCTGTGGCTCCCCTCCAAAATCAGTAGTTTGATCTCTGCTCACCCTGATCATGGTGATCTGCCGGCCCTGCTCCCACAACAGGCACATGTGAATATAAATACGTATTGTGCGGCAGGGGCCAAGAGGTACTGTTCCCTCAGCTGCACAAAGGCAGCGTCTACACGACGAGTGACCTCGCATGGGGCAACATCTCAGCAAGTGATTCGGATTGACTGCACGCCTCATCTGAAAGATTGTGCAGAAAATGGTCAATGCGATGGCCAGGCTCCCCTTCCCTCCCTGATCTGAACAAAGACCAGTCTCCTCCCATAGGCTGAACAGAGAAGATGGCTATGGGGAGGTCTACTGGTGGGGAAGGCAGGGACTAGCTTCTCCTAGTTTGTCCTTAACCTCTCCATGACGACATTAGGTATCCCTTAATAGAAACCTTGGCACCTCAGTCTTCCCTCCCAGAACATTCCTGCCCCCTTAAATTTTCTGTTGTGCTTTTCTTCTCTTTAATTCTCTAACTAACTCTAAAGAGGTCAGCTCACCTGAGTGCTCAGACGAACTCCTGATTTCTCAGAATCCTTTCTTTTCTCTGTGTCTAAGCTGTCTTTTGAGTTCCTCGATCCAGTCTCATTCTTAATATGGAAACAAAGAATGTTTATTAATTAATCTCAGGAGCATTAGAAACCTTGAGTTTGGGAATAAAAGGATGAATAAAAATTAGAATTTGCCTCTTTTCCAATATAATTAATATATATATGATATACATATCATATATATATATAAATTTTAGACATTTTCTTTCTGTTCCAACAGATGTTAATAAAAATAACACATATCAAAGAACTATATAAACATTTTTTAATATAGAAATATATTGGTTTGTAGATTTGAGGCATGAGGCATTTATCATTTAAAAAAAATGATAGCAGGCAAAAATGCTATGGAAGAATTTTCCAGAGCTTAGCAGGACTTTGATTTAAATATGAAATTTCCCCCACAGAATAACTTTTATTTTCTCTAATACTATGAAGGTTGATACTTAGGGAACTTTTCCTTTGGCCATGTAGAATTGAAACTTCTTTTGTTTGTTTTCTTAATAAACCCTAACTCCAATCTTCTGTGAATCTAAGCCTCACCAATAGTAGCTTGATTTTAAAGATCAAGGTTCTTAATCCTATGCAGATCTCTTGACAGTTCTGCCTTCTCTACATATTCTCTAATTATTCATACCAGCTAGAGTGAAAGGAGGTCTCTCGTGAACAAACTGATAGGGAAAACTATGTAGGAGAGCCCATGGACAGTCATGGACACTATTCAAATATGTTCCTTTTCAATTGCAGAAAATTCCATTGTATTGGAGCATTATTTGTATTGCTTCATGCTAATTTGGTAGGTGTATTGTGATCAAGATTAGTGTTATTTCTCTGTTTTAAGAGCTCAGCTTCTAGCTTAGACCAGTGTGGTCAGGATCAGTCTGTGCGTAATATTCTTTGCATAAGTTGGATGATTGAGTCTATGACTGCAGAGAATGTCAGAGCTATGTGGTCCTAGTACTGGATCCTAAAATCCTTCCAGCCACTCCCCACATCGTCACCATAAAATCCTGTCACTTATAACTGCAAAAGATATTTAAAACTAAATCCCTTTTCTCTGTCCTTAATATCATTGCCTTGTTCCAGATCTCAGAACGTTATGGGCCTGCATTCCTAATATTATGGACTTTTAATTAGATTTCATAACCTCAAATCCTCCCAACTTCTAGATCCATCGACCCCATCTATTTAAAGTGCTATTTATAAAACATAAATATAGTTATGCTTCATTTCTAGATACACTCTTCATTCACTTGGCTTTACAGACCAAGAGTCGCATGGTGTATCCTGTCTACCTCCAACTTGCCCACCATAGTACACATTTATCTGTATGTTCACTTGTGCTAAATGACTTGTATTTGTCTACATATCACCCTATTTCCTTGTAACCTCCTCTTCTCTTTAATCTTCTTCAAAACCCAGCTCAGCATGACCTGGGAGAAGTTCCCAGAGTTAAACATTCCTTTGTGTTGCCTGTGTCTTTTGTACATACTTTTACTGAGCACTGAATTGTACTTTGTTTATGTATTCTCTTCCCTACTAGGCTGTGCATTCTTCAAAGATAGCAACAGTGTTTTCTCCTCTTGCCACTAACATATGAGCACATGCTTAATAAATGCTATATTATTAGATAGACTGATTCTGAATGCTTTAATCTCACTTTTCTCCATTCTTTATATTCTTTATTTTCCTTCCCTTTGCTCCAGATATAGTCCTTATCTGAAGTGATTTAATTGTTACAGAACATTCCCAGAGGTAATGATATCTACATTTGTTGATGGCTACATTTCTTTAGCTCATTGGCAACATTCTAGGACATTCAATTCACTCACCTTCTTTTTCTGTTTCAGGGATGTTTGACTCATTTCTTTTAAGTCCTGAATTTCTTTCGTTGTTATGCAGGTTTTCCTCTCCCCAGCTCCATTTCCTGATGTTTCGGTTACTCTGCCTAGATTTGCATTTAGAATGTCAAATTTATGACATCATATGTGATTCCATAGTAACAAACTGACTCTGAATATGTGACTATAAAAAAAAAGCAATAGTATTTCTTCATAGTTGAGTACATCCTCTCATAACCATTCTTAAAGTTTTTAGGAAGTGATGTCTAAACAATTTTAAAATGTTTAATATGAAGCAATATGAGTATTACTGCTTCTTTCTTTTTAAACATTACTATATTACTCATCATATAAACCTCACTGTGGCTGTACATTTTCTGGCAGTGCCAAAATGAATGGTAAACTCATTTGTGGACCCAATCATTTATTATTGTTCATCCCAATAGATTTTGGAGAACTTCCTGCAATCTGCAGACTATTTTTGACAGCTGAGATTTCATTCTAGACACGAAGTTTAGACCTGTTTTTAGCTTTTGTGTTGGGTATTTTTCACAATGCCAAGGCCATTTCTATGACACATTTCAAAGCATTCTTCCTATGTCCAGACACAGTGTAGTAGAATGATACCTGCACTGCCTTTCTTGCCATTTGCCCCATGCTTGAACTTTTAAACACACATTTGTCCCTCTTGTATGCACACAGAAGATATGTAAAATCCAGCCCCCAACTCTGGTTTACAGGGTCTACTAATACAATGCATTTTATGGCTCTGATTTTATCTTCACCCAAGCTTTAGATAAGAGACTCACATAGGAGCCTGAGTTGGTCAGACCATCATGAACTAAGGCAGATTTCTACCTCTCTTAATTGGAGTTCATAACTTTGTTTGGAAATCAAAAGTTCTTGACAGCTTTAAGCAAAGTTCTCCAAAGGGTCTTCCAGAAAGTGAAACATGCAGCCTCAAGTTTAGAGGACCTGGGTTTAAATTATTTCTCTACTCTCCCCCTGCATCCTAGCCCCTGCCAGTATCTCACTGCAATCTTGAACAAGTGTGTTTAATCTTCCTAAACCTCAATTTCCATATTTACAACGTGGAGAAAATGATGGTATCAACATCAAATTGTAGTTGTGATAGTTGAGCTAGTATGAAGTACTTAAGACAGTGCCTGGTATTTATAAGTGATTAATGAATATTTGCTTTACTGTTTTATTCATAATTCTGCTGTAGCTATACTAGAGAGTTCAAATAGAAATCTCTAATCCCCAATGCAATCTGGTTGTAGGAACAGAAGTTTAAAAATATTTACTATTCCTATACATGTATAATCAATCAAATGTTAGTTTGGTGATTCTTCCCATATCCTAAACTCTCTAGACCTACTGATGGAGACAAGAGAAAGGAGGGCAGGCTGGGAGGGGATAGTTAAACTAGCAGTTAGGAAGAGGAGAACTCTGAGATTTGTGTTCTATAAAACACAGGAAAAAGATTTTGCAGATATGAGGGAATGAAAGAGTTTTTGGTTTCTGACTGGTCCTTCTAGCCTACAATCAAGATTGGCTTTTGCTTTTGGTCCTTTCCATGACTCTTCTGTGTAAATCAGAGTCCATATATTCAATAAGTTCCTTGATTATTGGTCTTTTCCCATGATACACAGCCTAGGATAGAATATGAGCCTCATGAGTATTTTGAATTATTTTATGTACTGAAATTTAAATGTATCATTTTGCTATGAGTGCTGAGGTTGATATTAAATAATAATTTGTATTTTTTTCAGATTTCCTGATTTGTTTTCCTTTATTATCTTCTGATTATTAACTTTGTTGTTGAGCACTGAAAACTACACATAACATGTAGGCAGCTGTGTTAGATAGAGTTCTCTAGAGAAACAGAGCTAATAGGACATATACAGACATACAAGAAGTCATTTATTATGGGAACTGTTTCATGTGATTGTGAAGGCTAGAAAGTCACGCAGTATGACATTAGTCAGCTGGATAACCAGAAAGACCAGTGATAAGAGTCAGTCTGAATCTGAAGGCCCTGAAAACCAGGAGAGCTAATGGTGAACTCCCAATCCAAGGTCAAAGGCCTGAAAACCTGAGGAACCACTGGTTTAAGCCTCAGGGTAAAAGTTCTGAGTATCAGGAGCTGTGACCTCAGAGGGCAGGAGGAGAAGACGGGTGTTTAATCTCAAGATGAGAGGGAGAATTCACTTGTTCCCCACCTTTTTTGCTCTGTGTGAAATCTCACTGAACTGGATGATGTCTGTGGATCTTCTTTATCCAGGCTACTGATTCCGATGCTAATCTCGTCCAGAAACATCCTTACATATACACTCCAAGTAATGTTTAACCAGCTATCTGAGCATCCCTTAGCCCAGTCCAGTTGTTACATAAAATTAGCCGTCACAGCAATATATCTTCTGTTTGTTTTGGACTTGTTTCTCTCTGAGTTCAACCTCAGTAATAAAGCCAAGATACTGCAAAGTGCTGACGTTGTCATGCACCCTTCCCAGATCACCCAAAATTGGTTTTTATAATGAAATTTTCATTGTCAGTTTTAGTTGTGGATAAAATTTTTGTTTTAAGAAAAGAGCTCTATAAAAGGCTTAAAAGATATTGTAGAATACCACAAACATGTCTAAATAGTCATTCTTCATCTATTTGGCAAATGTATTTTGATTCTTGCCATGGTTATCAAGAGGAATATACCCATTCCTCTGACAGAGTGAAGAGGACATGGGAGAGTCATTTGTGGAATACGATTCCTACTTGGCCATCCTTCTGCTATTTCTTATTTTTTTGTGAGGTTGTGACATTATGCAAAATTTCTGGGGACACTAGTCAACTCTCCGTTAGCCAGGAGATTTTCATAACATAAGATGCATATTGAGGAATACAACTAGACACTAGTATACTTGGAAGACTCTGAAGAATCTTTTTCTTCATGGTGTCCACCCTGATCTATTGAAATTAATATTGTGGAGAGTGGCTCTATTACCTTCATAGTTTTTCTTCTCTGAGTGAAAAGACACAAAAGTCACAACATGTCATAATGTCAACATTTATTAATATTTTAAAGTCTTTATATGTATGTAGATAGGTTCAAAGATAATGAAATTTGTGAAAATTAGAGAGTTCGAAAAAAGTTGGCATCTGTGAACTCAGTATCCTGATAGTCATAGTTATAATTATATTCTTCCAAAGTCTCCTCATCCATTTGCTTGAAGTTTAATCTTTCTTCCTTTATAAAATATTATTAGAATTATACAGTATATATAACTCAATATCTGGATTTTTTTCTATATGATGTTAGAAAAAGGTATTTTCATTACATTATGTTGTCTGAGTAATCATCAGTTTGATGACTTCATATGCTCTAGAGTGGGTCTGCTATAATTTACATAAGTATTTCCCTACTATTGAATATTTGGAGTATCTCCAGGATTTTGCTATTACGAATAATATTTTCCTGAGTATCTTCTTTCTCAGCTGAAGTTCCTTAGTACAAAATCTTTTCTCAATGACCAGTAGATTCAAACATGTAGTTGGATGGGCCCATCAGAATCCAAGTGCTCATGATGGAGCTATGTTCAAGAGGGCCACATTGGATTGGTTGGCCTGAAAGCAGATGGCATTTATTTTGACCTGACTTTGTTTATTATCTCTTCTGGCCCCTCTGTCCTGAAGGTTAATCATGAGCAGGGACCTGTATACCTTTTCCATTGCTGTCTTCCTGGTGTCCAGAACAGTTACTAGAAGGATAGAGAGTACTGTGTTAACAGTAGTGGTAAAGATGAAAAGAAGTGGTTTTCCGTATCTCCAAGAAGACCTGTAAGGTCAGTGAGTAGGAAGTGGCAGTAGAAGGAAGCTTTTTTTCGTCCCTGTCTTTTTAAGTTCTTTGTCTAGAGATCAGTGGTTCTCAAAAACAAACATGCAACAGAATTGCCTGGATGGCTGGTTGAAACAAGACTGCAGTAGGTGAATGGTCACACAAACATCCCTACTAAGCAATACAAAGAAACAAAATGATTGACTGGTTGATTCACACAACCTGGATGACTCTCCAGAGAATTACACTGAATGAAAAAAGCCAATCCCCCCAAATTATATTGTTTGATTCCATTTATATAACATTATTGACTAATAAAACTATAGAAATGGGGACAGTAGTGGCCAGGGCTTAAGAAGTAGATGAGGGCAAGAGGAAATTATGGTTATAAATGGGCAACATGAAAGATCTTTATGATGGTAGAAGAACTCTGATTTTTGACTTGATTGTATCAGTGTTGATATCCTGGCTGTGACACTGTACTATAGTTTTGCAAGATGCTGCCATTGGGATATACTGGGCAAAGGTGATGGGATTGTTCTCTATTGTTTCTTACAATTGACTATGTATCTATAATTAGTTCAAAATTTTAAGAAGTTTACTTCATTAAAAAAATATGCACAGATTATTGGGCCTCATTTCCAGGGCTTGTGATCATTAGGTTTGGATTACAATGCACGAATTTCTAACAAGTACCTAGATGAAGTTGATGTTGCTGGTCTGAAAACCACACTTTGATAATCACTGTACTAGAGTAGTTAGGAATTCTTACTACCCACAGTATGGTTGTAGCTAGCCTACTGATTCCATGTTAACCAGTTCAAATAATCTTCTCCTTACTTAAATTTTATGTGTTAATAAAAGCCACCATCAGTGAAACTGCCACTTGGATGGGCCCATCAGACCCCAAGTTATTCGTGATGAGGCTTCACCTCTATTCAGCAGATCCATGTTTTATTGGCTGGGCTACAAGCATTTGGCACACAAAAGCTGTGTCCTTTTCTGTCAGCCTCAACCAGAAAGAAACTATCAAAGTCAGAGGTTCACATGCTTGGCTGCATAATAAAATGATTTAGGAGCTTTTAAAAATTCCACTGTCCAGTCCCCCCATGCGCTACAAATGGCCAGGTGGCATTGTCCTTGCAAAGCTGACCTCTCAAACTAAAAATCCCAGTTGTCTTTAACTTCTCCTCCCTTATCTCAGGCTCTTAAAAAGTTACATCTCTTTTCTCTCTGCATTGTTTCT